GTCCGTTGCTCGCCTGGCCTCGCCTGTGTGTCTGCGGAGGGGGAGGGGGAGGGGCAGGCGGCCGCTGGTTTTTTTTTGGTGGTTTTGCGGGGGAGGGGGAGGGCCCCGCGCCTTTTGCTGCGGCGCGTCGCGCGTGTGTGTCGTGTCCGGCTGCGCCCGCCCGCTGGTCCGCACGCCACGTAGTTGGCGGTCCCGGGCACGGCGCCGCGCCGCAATGTGCTCGTGCCTGTCCGTCCGCCGGGTCCTCGCCCCGTCTCCGCCCTGCCGTTTCGGTTCGGCCCGGGCAGCCCGCGCCGCGCGCTTGGCGTGCGTGTATCTCCCCGTCTCTCCGCGCGCTCGGTGAGGGGAAAGATGCCACCGTGGCCCCTCGCGCATTTCCGCCACGGGCCAGTTGGGGTGGATGCTTGCATTTTTCTGGATTTATTTCAGGGTTTTCGACGATGCGCATAAATCTTGAGAAGATACGTCGGCTCAGTCTCTCGGAGTTGCTTGTAAAGGTAGGGTCTGCGCATTTGTGCATTCATAGGGTGAGTATATACGCGTATATATACGAGCGCTTGTGTCTGTACTGTGTTAAAAAAAGACAAAGGGTTCATAGGGGGATTATTGAGAAACTCCCCGCAATACTGTGACGGATGTAATGATTACTCAACGGTGGCCGTCGCTGCCAGAGCTCTCTCCCGCACCAGCGCGTCGTATTTTCACCTCTTGACGGCCTCGTCCGCGGTAAGAGAAGTGGCCATCCAACGCGATCATGTATCGGCCCGCGGCGCGGACCGGACGTGCAAATCAAAGACAAACGGGGAGGGCTTGCGAGAGTCCGGACCGCTCTCACGCCCGCTTTTGACCACACTTGCCAACCCCCCCCCCCCACGTTCCCGCCCGGCGAGAGATGCCCGCATTCATGCCGCTACATGCGACGAAGCTGTGTGGGAGTGCCTTTCCACGAAGATGAAATACGTCGTGGCCACCCTTGCCGCCGCCTGGCAGAGCCGCCGTGCCAGGCGGATCGAGGCCGGCTTGCCAGCCAGCTCGCCCGAGGTTCCAACGAGGACGACAACACGATGGAGACGGGCTCCGACGACATCGTCCTGGCTCCCGCGCCTCCTGTGCATGCCGACTTCACCATGGAGACGGCGCAGGCACACTACAACGCCGCCATGGCGGAGGTTGATACGTCCATTTTGCATCATGTTTTTCTACTGTTATTTAGAATGTTTTGGGTCAATATTTCACTTCATGAGGCAATTCTAATGATTTTCCCTCTCTTTTTTGCAAGTTTCACATGAAGAGCGAAATTGCCGGCAGCTGAAATTCTAGACCTAAAAAAGCTACAGCACAGATAGCTATTCTCCGGAACTCCAAAAGACCTGAAAATTTATGAAGATTTATTTTGAATTAAAAAAATACTGGAAGAAAAATCACCAGGAGGGGACCCACCCGGGGGCCACAAGCTCAGGTGGTGCACCCCTTGGGGCGTGCCATGTGAGCATGTGGGCCACCCAGCAAGCCTCTGTGGCCCTCCTTCTCCTATATGATAACATTTTCCCTATAAAAAAATCAAGAGAAGACTTCCAGGACGAAGCGTCGTCGTCTCAAGGTGGAACCTGGGAATGAGCTAGCACTGTTGCTCTCTGGCGGAGCAATTCCGCCGGGGATACTTTCCTCCGCGAGGGGGAAATCGAAGCCATCGACATCACCAACGATTTTCTCATCGTGGGAGGACCAATCTTCATGAACATCTTCACCAGCACAATCTCCTCTCAAACCACACTTCATCTCTTGTATTCAATCTTTGTCTCAAAATCTCATATTGGTACCTGTTGGTTGCTAGTAGTGTTGATTACATCTTGTAGTCGATGCTAGTTGGTTTATTTGGGGGAATGGTACCTGTCGTGGTTTTGTCACAGCAGGTATCCTCGTGAAAGGACTAAGTCTAGGAGCCATCGAACTAGGTGGTCGCTTGAACGGGGTTGATTGAGAACGAAGGACATGAGTTTACCCAGGTTCGGCTCCTCGCGGTGGAGGTAAAGACCTACTTCCTGCTTGATTGATATTGTTGGAGATCTTGATTATAAGGATGTGGATTCGCTAACCTAGCTCCCCTTTATATAATAGGTCGAGTCACTTGATTTCAATAGATTCCGAGTTGTAATACAACCCGTGTTCTACTCTTCTTCCTACTTGTCTTGTCTCCCAATTAAGAAGAATCTTTCACCTTCGGGCCTTCGTAAGCCGGCCCATTAAACTCCTTCATGAGTCGGCCTCCACCCAAGCTATGCTCCAGGCTTCTGGGCCCTGTCACCTATGTTGATCTTGTGGTCTGAAGTGAGCCATGATTCGGTGCACTCTACACCGGGTCATTCCTCCTGGCCGGGTCAACCCCTGGGGAATATCCCCAACAGTACCCGTGGGTTGCTAGTAGTGTTGATTACATTTTATAGTTGATGCTAGTTGGTTTATTTGGTGGAAGATTATATGTTCAAATCCTTAATCGTATACAATACACCTCTGATCTTGAACATGAATAAGATTTGTGAGTAGTTACTTTTGTTCTTGAGGACACGAGATAAGTCTTGTTATAAGTAATCATGTGAAGTTGGTATTCGTTCAATATTTTGATGATATGTATGTTGTTCTTCCTCTAGTGCTGTCGTGTGAACGTCGACTACATGACACTTCACCATGTTTGGGCTTAGGGGAAGACATTGATGAGTAATAAGTAGATGATGGGTTGCGAGAGTGATAAAAATTTGAACCCCAGTTTATGACTTATCCGTAAGGGGCTGATTTTGATCCATATGTTTCATGCTATGGTTAGATTTATCTTAGTTCTTCTTTCGTAGTTGCGCATGCTTGCGAGAGGGGCTAATCATAAGAGGGTTACTTGTTCAAGTAAGAACAACACCCTAGCACGACTCCACCC